AACCAGTAGGTGGCAGTAGTGTTCTTTGACAAACATGGATGCCTCCAGTAAAGCACATTCAAATGAAAATTGCTCTGAATCAAAAACACTGATCATTTATTGAACAGGATGGAATAATTTCAGATTTAAAGTACTTTCAGAAGTTTGTATTCTGAATATGGCCGGATTTCTCCTTTAATAAATGCCTCTAAAGTGAACAGTATAATAACTTCCTCTCCGTTCATCAGACTGGCTCTGCAGCACGGAGACGGACACGTGGTGGACTACCTGAGTCAGCCTGTCATCGACTACATCCTGCAGAGCCAGCTCTACATCAACACCTCAGGATAGAGCCGCCGGACCACACGACAACTGGGACAATTAATATGGAGGGAGGGGGGGCTAAAACGCCTAACATCTATATAACCCCCCCATGCAGAAAACTGAAACCTGTCTGTCTTCTGTGTCAACATATACTCTCCTTTTGAGCTTTTAAAGAGGAGCTTTAGTGTCCATACTTCTGTGTTATTTGACTTTACCTTGGGTGGGAGCGGGGGGGAGGGGCATGTTAAATCATAAGGCATGCATGGCAGACCGCTGGGCATGCTCAGTGTGCACCAACTTCCATCTTTTTCAGGGTATTTGCTCATCTCTCATGGATGCAGACCTAAAGGATTCCTCTTAGTCTAAGAAACACTTTTCTGATTTCCCCGCATTGATAGAGTTTAAAGCTGCTGCAAACCATCAAGCTTTTAGTCAAGAAACCCACATAAACTTCTACCTGAAGGGGGACAATCCATTGATGTTTTTCCTCAAATACAGGTTCATCTTCTCAGCTTTATCCCTTAGCTTCTCATCCATGATCTTAGTGGCTGCCTCCAAAGCTAAATCGCTGTCATATGAAAAATCCGATGGTTAAGATGCTATTTGCACAATTTAACTGAACTGTTTAAACTGAGCGATTATTGTGTCTGATCTAAGCACAGGTACCTGAAACAATCAGAGGTTCTATGCTTAAACAGCTATCCAATATAGTAAATAAATCAGTTGAAAAACCCCAACTAAAACCAAACCTTTTACTCTGTTTTTAGTATTTTTTCCATCGTTACTGTGGTAAAACCACTATTAAAGTGCAATATAATCAACATTATCTTCAAACACATAGATATGAAGCAGTCAAACCTCAGAAATATGAGAACCAGAATCTGATGGTCCCTTTGAACCCTACACCCTACTGAGACCTTTAATTTAGTCCTGTCTTTAAGGATCACTTCAACTGGTTTTCCAACTTAAAACTGAGAAATCTCATTTTCCCAAAATAATTAACAGAAAACCATATTGGCCGCATCGATCACACAATTACTCCACAGGACTGGGCAGAGTCTGGACCTTTTTTTTGCCAAGAGAAATGCTCTGGGAGAAAGTTTTTGCTTTCCAGACGTCATTAAAGTAAAACATGTTTCTTAGTCATATTGCCTAAAACAAGCAAAAAAAGGGAAACTATAAAAACCCTACAAAAAGTCAGTGCTTATCTCCTTCAGGGCAGCGCTGAAACACCATTCTCTATGAAGTGGTTCGCACTGCTAACAGCTTGCTGCCAAAACAATGTGACATGATTACTGCAACGTTCTGACAACCAGCCAGACACCTTTGTCACCTGTGAGTCTTCAGATGTGATGAATGCTGGGTCGGTGTAAAGTCAGACTTCCCTTGGTTTGAGTCTCCTGTAGCTGCCGTTACTGAAATGACAATCTGCACACAAACCACGTAATGTGATGTTTGCCAACATGTAGCTAGAGCTTAACCGGGAAACCACACACCAAACTAAAGGGGGCAGCAGAACAAAAAATAAAAAAAATGAACAGCAGGGAGTCGTTGTTTCTTCTTTACCTCCCTTTGACCTAAAACATCACCGAGAGGTTATTTAGATGATTAACAGTAATCTAATCTGCACATCTGAAACAATCAGTGGTCTGGGTCATGATCTTAGAAATAAAGAGTTTTTTTCACCTCGTCTTGTAAATAAACAATGTTCCTGAAAAAACCCTCATGGTGTTTCTGCGGGGTATCTGGAGGTTTCTGCAGAACTTTCAACCACAGATCTATGAATGTCTGATGGGAGCTGATCTGATGCTTCATGTGGGGGGGTGGGGGGGATTAGAGGGAGAAGAAGGATTAAGAGACTTCAGGGAATCAATGGAAGAGATGATGATGATTATGATGGCAGTGATGATGATGATAATGACGATGATGGTGAGGATGATGTTGATGATCAGCATCATAATTATGTTATTGATGATATTTGTAATGAAGACGATGTTAATGGTGATACGGAGGATGTGATGAAGATGTTTAGGATGTGATGAAGATGAAGCAGCTTTTGTAAAGCGTTTAGGACTGTTTTTTTTCTCAGTTTGTTTCTATTTCTAGTCTGCATGCTTTATTCTGACCGTGTGGGTCTGGCATGAATGTTTATCACTCAATAGATTATTATGGTCTGTTGTAAATGTGTTTGAGAAATAAAATAAATTATACAAGATATATACAAAGACACCGTAGCTTCAGTTTGAGTCATGTTCTCAACATTTTTTATTCACTTTGTAAATGTCTGATTTCCACATGGAGTGTGGTGTGTGAGAGAATGGGTGTTTTAAATGCAGTTTAAGAACCTTGAACAGAATCCAATCGACTTCCATTCAGTTTCTACCCTTTCCACGGCCGTACAATGACACTTAACCAAAAACACCAGCCATTACTGGTGCATACCTCACAGTAACCTCTAAAGTGTGCATTTAGTTTAAGGTTTAAGGTATACGTTTGTAATGGCTAGGCTCAGGATAAGGGTCCAGACCAATGAGTGGAAGTCACTGAAAAGTCCCAATAAAACACGTAAACACAACGTGTGTGCGTGTGTGTTTTCCCAGGATTGTTGGTCATTTTCTGTTTAAGCATGACACTGATTTCTGTTTCTCAGCCTTTTTCTGTTAAAAACTAAACTTAGCAGCAAATCAACAGATTGTTCATAAATGATCAGGAAATAGATTTAAATAAAGTGTTTCAGGATGTTTGGTAAATACTTAACTGTGGTTACATTTGCACCCTCTGCTGACAAAATAAAGTCTGTTTTTATCTATGTCTATGAGTTTTCATTTAAATGTCCTGTGAAGTTTATTTCCAGAAATCTAAAGGAACTGCTTTGAAGCTAAAATCAAAAAAGTTTTTTTTTCTTTGCTTTTTAACAAATGTACTGATAAAATAATGAAATCTTTTAACAATGTTTTTTATCTAATTAAAAGTACTTCATTTTTTAGAAGTATGATCTGGTTTAAAGAATTATCGAACTGGACAGTTGCTTCCTCAGAAGCATTTATGTTCTTTATTGAGCCAGATTAAACAATAAGTTTGCATTTATTCATAACACAAGACTAATTACAACAGTTCAGTTTGTGGAGTGAATAGTGATTAGACATTTCACTCCTGCCAAGAGAGAAACAGGACTAAACGAAATAAGGCATAAAGAATATCTATATGCTATAACAAGGATTTTTCCACATCATATGCAGTAAACCATTCCACAAGAGATTTTGTTGCCCAACATTTATGTATCAAAAACAACACAGGCTGCTTAAAGTACAAAGAAGTGACGCAATGAGGAGGGGAATGTTGACTGTGGACAGAGTTGAAGCAAAATGTGAAAAAAAAGTCAAACATATAGATAAAGCATCAGGATGAAATCAGACACTTAGATAAAAATCAGATAAAATTTAAGCAAGGCTGTTTTATTTATATAAATGACGCAAAAATAAGCTTTAAATATTTATAGGCACAGAATATCCCAGAGTGCCTGACAGGTTATGGCAATGTGAGAAAAAAAATGTGACTGTATCTGACATGCAGGGAGATTGACCAGGTGTTAGTTTTTGAGGAGTTGGAAGTGAGACTGTTGTCCTCAGTCGGACATTTCAAAGGCATTGTCCAAGTTCTCCACACAACTTTTTGGATGCTTATCAACTGAGATAAGATCGGACAGCTTTACTATTTCGTGAGAGCTTAGAAACTAAGGCCAATCTCCTCCACACTTGGTGCCCTGCTACTGGGGAGCTTTTATGACAACATAATGCATAATGCACAATGCAGGGGTGGAGCTAGATGGGGGGGCTAGGGGGTCCATGGCCACCCTCAGCATATCACTGGCCACCCCTGAGGCCACCCCTACCATTTTTTTTCACACTCTAATACAGATAGTGGCAACAGT